CTCACAACGTCAATCTTTTGTGTTTTTAAACTGTCATCGATAATTTTGGAGATGATGGATTACAATTTTTAAGTTTTGAAGTTTGTAATATTATATTTTATGAACTATATGTTGTCTATTAAGAGATTTTTTTTCATTTTCCTATTAATTCTTTCATTTTTTTGGTATATAAGTTACTTAACTTTAATTATACATAAACTATATTATAATTAGGCGGGTAAGGATAAAGGGCCGGGTACCCGGTGGGTCAACGAATTTTTGCCGGATACCCGTTGTATAGGGTACTCGCTTTTTGCAGGTCGGGTAAGGGTATTGTTTGTCAAATACCTGGTAGGGTCGGGTCGCGTAACAGGTAGTCCCAGCCCTACACAACACGATACAACACCTTGAGAAAACTCTAGTAAAGAGAGATCTAAAGGAAAATATTCTCAGGTAACATCTTCAAAGCGTTTTATTATTTCAACATATATGTTTTATTATTTCAACATATATACGCCGATAGCCACATATGGAGTAAACTATATATTCTCACATAGAGCTAACAAATTCATCAGCGATTTCAACCACATCGTGGAGTAGAGAGTTGGAGTTCACCACCCTACAGTTCAACCTGATCTGTCCTTGAGTTCCGGTAGTAGGTGTAATGTTTCCCATCCTATTCATCGCCTCGACAAAGGCATTGAAGAATGTTTGTGTACCATCAGCATATGCTCTCACCAAGGGAATTGTGTCACTGGCATTAGGGCTAGAGAACAACTCTTGGTCGCTCTGGATAAGACCTTTACGTTCTTTGAGATTCACATAGTATTTGTTGTCGAAAACCGTGGGCGTACGCAGATCAAAATCAACCAATACGCTTAGATTACCATTACGGGGACATAGTCCACGAAGAGTTTGGAGGTAAGTAGTGTTGAGGGTAGGGTCGGGTAAACCGGTGCTGCTAAAGTTATACAATCTGTCCATGATAAACCGGCACTGGTTTTTACCAAATGTGTGGCCCCCTAACCAAAGAAAGACCATCATATCAATAACAAACTCGCTAATTACAACTATATCAAATGTAGTATAGTTCATTTTTGTTAATTACCGGAGAGAGCAACAAGATCAGAAGGACGGTTGAGGCCAACATTTCGGAAGCTGTTCTTAAGTTGTGTAAGGTTGAAGAATGGAGCTGGAAGATTTTGATTAGCGAGATCTAGAAATGCCCTTAAACTGTCTCTTCTCCCCAAAGGAACTCTCCAAGAAGGACCTCCTGCCTATATAATACAAA